TATATATATATAAAATATAAACATATAAAACGTATATATACGTGTATACACATATATAACATCGATGAAACATTGTCATATACCAGATAGGAAAATAATTCAAATCGTAATAAATATATACGATGATATCGTACCAATGTAAGATTACACCTTTTCGAACAATATACCGGAACCATAACTGCTTATCAAATGACGTAATGAAATTTAACGAAGGAACAAGACAAAAATCATTCATAGTTACAACTCGGAGAAAGTATCACGTTTGTCCTATTTGGCAAGATCGATAATGACAACTTTTTCCGAACGTACGATGATTTATATCGAATGTGTATATTTGTATACATGTATATGTGTGAATCATGTATGCCCTAACGTACATAAATATGCATGTACGTGTCAATTTCGATCACGACGCGATGATTCTATTAAAAGATATAAAAAAAATATATATATAAATAATACGATACATTTTCGTAGAAAATTCTAATGGCATTTAACTATTAACTATTATCTATTTGTAAAATAGTCACATCGGAAAAGATTTATCCGAAAAGATATCGATTTAATCGATTAATTTATTGTTCAACAAAACGTGACTACTTCTTCTTCCTGAGAAATTGATCCGTCAAATGAATAATCATCTTACTCGAATACAACCTTGACCTTTCGTTGAAGAACAAAAAAAAAAACTATTTACGATTTCGCGAATATATTTTTTTTTTTTTTTTTTTTTTTTTTTATATAACTAGTATCTATTTATTTATTTATATTTCTATCTATCATTTCGAATTCGATTTAAGCGTTCATACGTATGTATGTGTGTGTGTGTGTGTGTATGTATATTTTTAGCTTAACACGAGGAAAAATTTAATCGTAGAAAATGGAACATGGAATTTCATTCGCGACAGTGATTCGAGTTGCGTGCAACTTGAAACGCTCGTGTTAGAAAAGTGGGAAAGGCTGTTGCGTCACGTTTCATTCGTAGCTAACTTGAATATATTTTCTTTCTTTCTCTCTCTCTCTCTTTAATTTCTCAA